CCCCAAAACCCCAAAACCCCAAAACCCCATAGGCTCTAATAATTAGTGTGTTTTAGAATTATAAGATGAAAATAAATACAATATTGATCATATGCCTCATTTTATTAAGCTGCTATTTATAGACAGCTTGCGCATCAACCAAAACATCAACTACAACGAAAATACCTAACAAATGGGGCTCTGAAAACGGTTTAAATTATGCCTGTAAAAAGGGCTCTGATGAACATTGTAAAAGTACATTTGGTAAAGATTACTGCTGTGCTCAGTACAAAGCCAGTGCTAGTGATGTTCCTGTCTATTCTTATGTTTGTACTAAAGTTGAAACTATACTAGATGAACATGGTTAAATTGAAGATGATATTGCAGATGTGGTTTTTTCAGTTATGTGTGCTGATGGAAAATAATTAAGTTTATCCCTAGCCTAATTACTTTTTATGACACTGATGGTTTACATCAGTTTTAACTTTTTAAATTGATTGATAAAATATCTGATAGTTTGTCTTAATAACATTTATTTAAAGTTAACAACACAATATTTCATCAGTCCTTTCCTTTTGGCTTTGTAATTTTCTTAATTCCCTAATTCGCTTGAGTTTTTGGTCCAGTATTAACGACTATATTATTTGTGGCAGGCTTTTTCTTTTTATTTTTATCTTGGCCATCATCCCCAGAAAGTTCAGAGTCAGCATCACTTTCCTCATCTGATTCGCTTTCAGAAGCTTTCGGAAGCATTATCTAAAGATTTAAATAAACAACTATTAAATTACTTCAAGTTCTTCGAGAACAGCTTTAACTTTAACTTGATCTGGATCACAAAAATCAAGAATGGTGTCACAAAATCTATGTCCTACTTCTTGAAGTAAGTCAGTGTTAAAATGATAATCAGCAAATTTTCCCTAGTCTGCTCCACAAAATGAAGCCTCTAGAGTGAAACTGTTTGTTATACCTAATTCTTTCCACATTACTACTCTTGCCGTGGATTCCTTTGCTTTTTAAACTGCAAAATTACAATCTGAAAAGTTGAAAATATCACAATTCTTATCGACCAAGCATGGGAATATTTTCTCCTTCAGTCTATCATTTACTCTTCCAGAATTTCCATACATAAAAATGTTCTTTTTCCTCGAGTGTCCATGAAAATCGCAGAATAAAAATATATCTCTATCCTCTTGAAGCTTCTTTATCATCATCTTAGTATGATAGATTGTTGGATGAATTTTTCTAGAAGGATCAATCCAGCATCTATTCAAATCAACACCTGCTAAGTTACATCTTGAACTGCCATTTATTACACCATCTGGATTTAACATAGGTACTATCTTGAAGACAAAGTTATCTCTAAGTATTTTAGCATTCAATGAAGGACCAGTTAAATAATCTATTACACCTTTCATCATCCAAGAAGCTCCACTTTCACCTGGATGAACTCTTGATGATAGAACTACTCCTTTTCTATTCTTAATAGCCTCAGGATCACTCTAGAAAGTAGTAACAATAATCATTTCACAGTTATTACCAGCAATTGTTTAGCAAAGAGTTCTTCTTCTCATTCTATTCTTTCTTTTATTATCAGATTCTAAATGATTAAGGTATCTTGTCAAGTCAGTATAAGTATAGGGGTAACAATGAGCTAGATAAACAGTGTCATTATCATGCTCAAACTGAATACTGAATGTAAGTGTATAGTAATATCCAGCATTCTTTCTTTTCATTGAATTTTGATAATAGCATATATCTCCACCTCCTCTATACCAACCTCTGCCATTTCTTTTAGCCTCATACTCAGAGTAAACAACTGGCCTCATTCCATGATTATACAAAGAGTCTGGCTTCATCAAGTTGATAATGTTAAATCTGTATGTTTTTCCTGCCCTTGTATTGTTTATTCTGAAATAATACCATTAAGTATAACCTCTAGTATTATAGTCGGGCTTAAGTATAAGATCGTACTCAAACTCATAAACCTAAATAGCTCTTCTTAGGTTACCACTCTCAAATCTGCTTTCAAATACAAGAGTGTAATCATCCTGTGAAGATGGAGTATAAAATTGAGGGAATTCTCCATCTGGAGTCTGCTAGTCGGCTAGAGGATTGCTTGCATTATATGGAGATGGGTCAATGCAATCATATACAACTCTATTCATCAAATTTTCCTGATGAGCAACTCTCTCAGCCTCTCTTCTAAGACTTTCTTCCAAAATGAATTCTTATGGAGGATAAAGTGGCTCAAAATCAACTGCATCCTTAATGTGAAAAGGAGGATTTCTTGTAAGTTATGTTGTTGTACCTCTAATTCATGTAATGAATATGATATAAATTACGTTTTAATTGCAATATATGAATCATTTCCTTGGTTTTGCCCAGCATTAGGAGCTTTGTTTGTTCCAGCAGCAGTGCTACCAGCGGCGCCCATAGATATTTCAACAGAAATACCATTCTTCGGTAACTGATTATTTTATTATGTGTCAATTTATGCCCCATCTCTTAATTTCGCATTTTCATCAAACTAGTCAGCATACACATCATAATCTATACAAATCAAACTAAGCTAATCTTACCATTCTTATTTTCCTCTATGATTTCATCATCAATACCATTTTTGAGATTTTGGTCGATAAGAGCCGACTCTTCAATTTCATAAATGTTATTCTGAGTGCTTTCCATTTTAATTTAAATTGTGAAATATATAATTTCAAATTTAAATATGAATTTCTCTGACTTTATCTCACAAACAAGCGGCATTGTAAAGTACTCTCCAAACGGAGACCTGGTAGCCATTGCTAAAACCTTCGAGGTCAAGGTATTTGTCAAATCTTGAAATATCAATACACATTTAGATTTATGAAACAAACTCATTGAGACCAATGCATGCATACTCTTTTATAGATGTTGTTTCTAACTTAGAGTGGTCTTATGATAGCAATCTCATCCTTATTGGCATTCAAAAGAGATCATTAGTTTTTGTCAAGAGTCTTCATGACTAAGATTGGCAATGTAAAATAGATGAAGGCATGGCTGGTTTATCTTATGTGCAATGGGGTCCTTCTCTTAATCACATAATAACTGTAAGTGAGTTTAAAGTGAGACTAACAGTTTGGAGTCTCGAGGATAAAACAATGCAGTACATAAAAAGCCCTAAATTTGATGATATTAGAGGAATTACCTTTTCTCCTAATAAAAAATTAATGGCTTTGGCCGAAAAATCTGCTAATGAAGGTGGGAGAGATCAGATAGGAATTTATGATGTGACTAAAAATCATTGGGAATGTTTACATCACTTCAGTCCTGACACTTTTGATCTAGAGACTGTAGAGTTTGCTGGAGATGGACAACATTTGATCATTACAGATTCAAATTTGAAATGTAAACTGATAATTTACCAAATCTAATTTAACTAAGGCAGTGTTAGTGGAGTCTAATAAACAGTCAAATTTTAGCCTTACGAAAACACTGCATTAGGTATCAGAAACATGCAAGTGTCATTTAATAAACAGTATATTGCCACTGGTTTTTTCGATCAAAAGTTGAGAGTTTACAACTCATTATCCTGGAAAGAAATTTTCTCGTTTGATCATAGATTGACAGATTTGACTGAAGATAACACACCAGCAGATCTTAACATCTATGCAGAAACTGAGAGTCGAGAGGGTGCTATTTATGAGGTTCTTTCAAGGCCATTTAAACTTCCAATTCTTTAAAATCATCAAATAAACAGCAAAAATGATGCTTTACCAAGAGTTGGTATTTCACTGATTGCAATAAGTAGAGACAATAAGTTCCTTGCTACTAAAAATGAAATTTGTCCAAATGTTGTCTGGATCTGGGATTTAAACAGAGTTTGTCTTAACACAGTTATGATTCAGAAATAAGAAGTAGAGCATATAGAGTTCTGCCCCAAAACTCCAACTTTAAATGTCTCAACTGGCAATGGGAGATTATATCTCTGGACAATAAGAGTAGCATCAGTCTGCTAAGTTCCAGTAAATAAAGAAAATTTCAGCGTACATCATACAAGCTGGAACCCTAACGGTAAATCCTTTGCAGCTCTTGATAAAAATGGACTCGTTTTTGTTTATCCTCAAATTTAATTCTATGATGAAAACGAAATGGCTTACTGATTAAAATATATGTATCTGTAAAATGAATTAACAATCCCTAAACTTAGCTAATGTTTACAATTGTTTAATCTAATTTAATAAAATAATCAATAATAAATATAATATTAGTTTAAAATATGCAGTAAAAATACGTCTACTCTGGCAATGTATTTTGGAACTTCTTGAAAGGAGTTTTATTTACTAACGAAAGAGGAACACACATCGTTGCTCCGTTTAGATCTCCTAACAAGCTTTTTGTGTGGCGTAATACCCAACTAGACGGCTATAAAATCACTGATGATTTCTAGGATAAACCAACTGATCTTAGCAATTATTTGTTCATTAGAACCAGAGAAAGATTGCTTCTTCTCAACAGAGTCTATGCCCCACACAAAGTTCTTTCAAAAGGAAAAAATAACTCATATTAAGAGCAATACTCTACTCAATCTTTAAGAGAAGTAGAGGAAGATCTGGCCAAACATCTCCCAAATCTTGAAAGATTAATTAAAATATTAAACCCAGAGAAAAATAATCTCCCCGTTGCATTCGCTTCAAATGCTCTTTATATTCTTGAGAAAAATGGATTAGGAAACAGAGAGGAATATGAGAGAGTACTTTTGCCAGTTCTAAGATAGAAGATCCAGCATATTCATGCTGAAGGTGTTTCATAAAGTGTTTGGGCTTTGGCAAACGCTCAAATTTGGGATGAATAATTATGGGGTTCATTGAAATAATTAGCTATTGAAAAGACATTTGATTATTAAGTTGTTAAGAATGAAAGATGGAGTGCTACTCATTTCCAAACTCCCTCAACCTTAGATCACATGTATCAATCTGCTTACAACTCATAAACAAATCAAATGTTCTTTGGAGATAAATTGAACTTTTTCGAGTTATACAGTGGATTACAATTGGCTCATTCAGCAAACCCAGCTCTTGGCCTTGGAGATACAGTCAAATAATTAGAGCAAAAATACTCTCACCTTCTTACTCACAATAGTGTATACAGAGCCTTAGAAGACACCCAGAGAGAACTCGAAGCCTAAAGTGTACCCGCAACCAAGGAAGCACACAACGCTTGAATTTTCAGCTAGCATTCTCATTCATAGAGATACACTAGAAATATTCGAGTGTTATATTTAAAATCATAATTGCTCCTATTTCAATTCCTTTTAGCCTCATGGGGTTTTGGGGTTTTGGGGTTTTGGGGTTTTGGGG